TACACTTTCAAACAAGTTATTGTCATGAAACTAGAAAAATGCTTGTTTTTTTCCCTTTTTTGGCCCCTAACTCCTAAAATGTTTAACCTACACAAGGCCTACAGATTGAAATAAACAATTAATTTCCCCATAGGCGACAATGATAGCCTTTTTTGAGATACAGACTTTAGAAAGTTGATTTTTTAAACGAAACCTTGCTAGAATTACAGAAAAGTTATTCGGACAGTATTTTTTGGTCCAAAAAATATAGGTTCGCGTTGCTTTTCTTAACGTATTTTGTACTTATCTCCCATGCCTATCTATTTTGCACTTAAAAATACGTGTCTCGTCCTAGCGTTAAAAAGACATCTCATTTCCGTTAGGGCTAAGGAAAATAATTTGTTTGGCCTTTGATATAATGCAGAATGCACGAAGTCTCTAATAATTAAATTTCAGAGCTCCAGATAAGCTGCGTATTTGCGTGACCACGCAATACATATCATTAAAAAACCCAATGCAATTGCCCATTGAAGGGTTCAATAACCCAATTAATTCAAAGGAAAACTCAATTATATGCCAAAACCATGAGTTCTTAACGCTTTTATTCACTATCGTTTGCGTTATTTACCCTTATCTAGTTACAATCGTCGCGTAAATCTATTTTTATAATATTTATAATTGGAAATTTCCTTTCGTTCTAAAAATATAGCCCTGCATCAAGTAGCTGAAATGGGTCCCTGTTGGAATTTTCCGTTGCTCAAAAGGTACACGTGTTTATGAAAACATTTCGATCTTCTCGGCGTTTATCCAATTAGCGTTTTTTTCGAATTGCTCGGGACTTATCGTAACATACAATGAATTAAAACGAAAGTAAATGTCCGGTAAAAATATTGAATAGAAGCATGTTTTCAGCTTCTTTTTGATAGCTGAGGACAAGTTATGATGATAACAAGACTCAGCTAGTGTTTTATGAAGCGTCCGTTGAACGCACGGGCGTGTTTGCGTACCTTAACGAGAACATTGCAGTGGCGGATCCAGAACATTTTGAAAGGGGGGGGGCCCCGCTGACTGACCTAAGGGGGGCCCCGCTCCATTCACGCTTCAGTGTTTCCCTATATAATCAACCAAATTTTTCCCACGAAAGGGCCCCCCCCCCCCCCCGTGGATCCGCCTATGCATTGCACGAACGATAAACACGGGGTTTCTTCAAGAACGAAATCAGTTGGAAAAAGTGAAAAGCCAAATTAATTATGACATGTTATGTAGTTGGAAAGCATCGGAAACCAAAAGTTCTAATAAGGGACAACTTAACCCAGGTTTATGTTAATTAAATTAAACAAACACATTCAGGTATAATTTTAGTTTATATATTATTTTTTCATTTTTAGATGATGAGTGAATACACATATCCGTTTTTTTACGTCAATGCAGCTTGACATTTTCTTTATTTTGGTCTAATTGTTCTGTATGCTTAAGATAGCTGTCTTATTGGCAAGTGTTATTTATTTATTTGTTGTTGCAGAATTATTTGTCAATTGAAGTTGAATGTGGTGTCCGTAATTAAACCACCCTTTAAACCTGGTCAAGGTTTTGGGGGTATATCTTGAATCTGGGAACTACTTATTATTTTTATTAAAAAGTAGATCTGGCAAATAGGTGAAAGGACTGGCAAAACTTTCTTACAGCACCTAAATTTCACATATATTACATAAAAATCCTAACACTAAGCCAGACCTACCCCAAATTAACTGTAGGATATCATATAGGATCTCGAAAGGTAATTAGTTACTGTCCAACTAGTGATTGATACCAGCTGCAGTTTATATAAGTTGCGAGAAAATACAAAACTGGCAGAACGTTTAAAACGGGACACAAATCAAACGTACAATTGCTCGTCAGTGAATAAACCAAACAAAACAGCTAGCACATATACAAAGAAAGAAACATATTAAAGATGGAAAAACATCTTGGGTTGATATAATGTGATTATAACATGCCTAAATATTCAATATTGTGTTGATGAAAAAACCCAATACATTAAGGAGCTTGGTGGTGAAAAACCCAATTTGATATTTGCTTGAGGGGTGAATCGGAATTGATAATGCAATTAAAAAACTCTATCACCCAATTACATAAAAAAATGATGGGTAAAAACCCCAATTTGTGAATTCTTATCTGGAGCTCTGTAATAATAAAAAATAACGGGCGCACATATCAACCAATCAGGATTAGCCATACTCTTAATTCTGAATACCATGTTATGCTCATAAAATGGCTGCGCCCATACAATCTAATGGTGTATTGTAACCTATACGGTATTTAATACTTTCTAGAATCATGCAATTCATAGTGCGTCAGATGCACAAATATATATGCCACACATAAATCAGCTTCAAACCGTTCTGGCATTACTCTCTGAATTTTCACAATTTTTTTTCAGAGGTGACCCCAGTCGAAAAATGTGAGAAAAAAATTTCTGATTTTTTTAGTAAATGCGGTACTGCTAAAAAGGGCCTGAAGATAATGTCCACTTTCTCCAATGATTCTTTATATGTCATCAAGTACTGATTATATTGATACCAAAACCGATTCAATATGTAACTACTACGGTAAATTTTGAACAACAATTTTAAATGAAACCATTTTCGTATATAAGTACATTTTTGAAACAGACTATAGCATTTCAAAATATGAAAAATGTGTAAATATTGGTGTTAAAACATCGAAAACTATTCGTTAACTACAAAATGTCATGTCTATTCTAATTTTTATAGTTTGTCATTCGAGTGAACATTTCAATGTTCGAAGGGGACCACTTCTGTACATTTTCACTAAATTTGGTAATTTCGATAACAGCACTTGGATCGATATTGTCATGTTTAAAAATCGATTTTTATATCTAAACTCTAGACGTGTACGTGCTTTTTTCAAACAAATCAGCAGAAGTTCAGAAAATGACATAATCTCTACACATTAAGTCAAAAGTCGAGCCCACCCTTGTTTCCAAGGTAAAACGCAATACAAATATGAAAGAAACTATAGCTTAAAAACTAGTTAATCAATAATTCATTTATCACAAAAAAATATGGTTTCACATCAAATTTGAAGTAAAACAACTGTTTTTGACACTTTTTGAGCACTATGATTAAGCAATGTCGACTCTGTATAGATTGAAATAAACAATTAATTTCCCCATAGGCGACAATGATAGCCTTTTTTGAGATACAGACTTTAGAAAGTTGATTTTTTAAACGAAACCTTGCTAGAATTACAGAAAAGTTATTCGGACAGTATTTTTTGGTCCAAAAATTATAGGTTCGCGTTGCTTTTCTTAACGTATTTTGTACTTATCTCCCATGCCTATCTATTTTGCACTTAAAAATACGTGTCTCGTCCTAGCGTTAAAAAGACATCTCATTTCCGTTAGGGCTAAGGAAAATAATTTGTTTGGCCTTTGATATAATGCAGAATGCACGAAGTCTCTAATAATAAAAAATAACGGGCGCACATATCAACCAATCAGGATTAGCCATACTCTTAATTCTGAATACCATGTTATGCTCATAAAATGGCTGCGCCCATACAATCTAATGGTGTATTGTAACCTATATTGACTATCGACTGCGTGTGGACAAAACATGATTTAAACTACATGTAAACATTGAGTTTTATCAATGGGAACGTAATTGTGTTTAGTTTACGTGTGAGTTACACTAACACAACACCGAGTTTAGGTCAATGTGAACACGGCCTAAGTCCTTAAATTTGACAGCAATACACCAAAATACAAAACAACCTGGCATTCTGAAAGATAAATTTATAATAAGGATAGCTTTAAGTTTGATGAAAATCACACTATAATTTGTTTCTATTTTTAACAACAGCATCAATGTTTGTTGGTTGGCCTACATAATTGACAAAAATTTGATAATACATTAATTATGATCCTGGCTAAGATTAAACACAATCCAATCAGCAGTTTCAGGGAAGATTTTTTTTAAAGATTGACATTTACAATAGGTCTCTACATGGAAATGAAGATTTATACTGTATTATTTATCAAACTTACCAGAACTATAAATCTGCAGACTTGAATTAATGTCAGCAGCATCAGGATTTATTTCATCAACTGAAAGAGAGAATTCATATTATACTCATTTCTATGATTTTAAAAATAATCTATAAATAATGAGCATCCCATTAATCAGTTAGTTTCAGCATTAAATGTAGGTCACAGTGATGCAATTGTTGATGTATTGTGTAGTTCTTTACAATAATGTAGTTTTGATATATCCATGATCAAAAGGATGATACATTACTATAGGAGTGTTTTGATAAATGAATATGAACTGAATACTTAACAAAAGTCAGTGAAGTGTGAAATGTAGGTCATTGTGACTCAAGTTATGCTGAACAGTGTTGTACTATACAAGATGACTGTAGTGAGTACATACCATATATATATATTACATACTAACATGACTGATGGATAAGGGTAAATCTAAAGTTCATTTGTATTGTTGTCATGTCAGTCAATGTTTCACGATAAAAGTTCATAAAACTTGAAATTAAATTGAACATCCAACATGACCAACTTAATAAGATCATATTCATCATTTTGTAAATTTATTGGGGTGTAAAAGCGTTGACCGAAGTACATTTTGTATGAAGCGCTTTATTATTTAAATGTGTACATGGTCAAAGCTTTTACAACCCTATGAAAATACCAAAAGAAGCATTCAATACTTGCAATTACATTTTTTTGCTATGATCATGAAAACACAATTACCATGATTACTATCAAGTTTTTTCTTTTATTTACCTGGGCACTTTATTGTAGAAGCACCTGTCACCATGAATGTTACAATTCATTTTGAAATGAAGTTGATTAAGGAATAATGTGAGATTGCAGTTAACTAATCAGAATAACATATTATAATGACACATACATCTAATGTAACTATAAGCAAATGTATGTATAAACCAATGATGGATATGTGGCTGGTGAAAAACATGGACTGCAAGGTACCACCTGTTCACTTCTATTAATATTCTGTTCATGAAAATTCATTGCAACTTTATGGAACTCCACTTAAATAAAAATAGAAATAGAAGTTAAAATTGTATACTGTACTTGAACTTAATGTCGAGAATTTCGCAATCGGTAGATATTTGCCAAAATTACTCCATTCTAAAATGCAAATAATTCAATATGCATACATGCATATATATGGTTAATCTGATTAATAAAAAAAGAACTTAAATAAACTCTTCAAACCACATACTTATGTTGTGCTTGGTTCATATCTGTCATATTTTTTTTTGTAAATGTTTTGTTATAAATAAGGCCATTAGTTTTCTCAGGTGAATTGTTTCCTATTTTTCAAGTCTTGGACATTTAGAGCTAACCATACGGTACTGTATTAGATTGTATCATTGTTGAAGGCTGTATGGTTGCATCCACTTCATGTGAATTTTGGTAGTCTTATTGGCAATCATACCACATCTCCTTTTTTTATCCCTAAAGAAGTACATACAGTGTGTATTTAATAGTGTAAATATTTGCACCTATATTAACATTATAATTAGTACAGTTATATTACTGTTGCATAATAGCATACATGTTAAGCCTACCAGGTCTTAGTTTTTTGCAAACCTCACACCTCCTGAATTTGCCAGGATTTATACATGTACTTCACTTTTTTTGGACAAATGGCAATGTTTTTATCAGGGAATATTGATATGGGGGAGTGAAACCAGCTTAGATATTTCGATGTTTTGTTCTGTTCTGGTATATACCTCCGTTAACTGTAGTTCTCTGATTTACATTTGATTGAAAGGAAATTATCAAGGCCGGAAATATTGAGCAACCTTTACAGTATTCTGTAAATTTATACAGGCAAATTAATATCCATTTACAAGAAATTATCATGATGATTATGTATATAGGTACATTGTACATGTAGTATGGCCTAAAGAATCAAAGTCACATGATATTCTTATAAATCTTCCCTTATTTGCTGTCTAAAAGATGAAAACAGGTAGTAAATGTATATATTATAAACCTACCAATATCATTTTGTACATCTACAACTGTAAGGTATGTTTTCTTGTGTCTTTCTACACAACTTCTGCATAAACCTGTCATAAATGTAAATATAGAAGGTGGATAAAAAAATGTTATGGTAAGTACATATGGTCTGACTCATGAATATGATGATTAATCTTAAACATTTCTTGTAATTAAATGACCTGTGGAACAAACATTATTTCTAGTTTATCCTGCATAATGATGATCACTTGATCGCTTGATGAATTTGAGTGTAGGAATACAGGTGAATCCCTCTATCTGGTAAATGAATGACGTCATAAAGGTGCATATAATTGACAATTTTTTTCCGGTGGGGAACATACATGTACATGTATTATACATAACATAACACCCCATCACATTCTGTATGTACATGTATGTACATAAATTAGGCCATTAGTTTTCTTGTTTGAATTGTTTTACATTTGTCATTTGGGGGCCTTTTATAGCTGACTAGGCGGTATGGGCTTTGCTCATTGTTGAAGGCCGTACAGTGACCTATAGTTATTAATTTCTGTGTCATTTGGTCCTTAGTGTAGAGTTGTCTCATTGGCAATCATACCACATCTTCTTTTTTATATAACTCGAAAGTAGTCTATTATAATTTAACTCAATTTATTTTTTAACAATCTGTTTTTACTATACATTTAGAATCAGTGGCAGATCCAGAACTTTTCATAAGGGGGGGGGGGGGGGGCTCCAGTCATGCTTCAGTGATTCCCTATATAATCAACCAAGTTTCCCCCCCCTGGATCTGCCTATGAGAATGGTGTTGTTAATCTCATAAAATTCTTGTTTTTCATTCTATAATGTGGTAAAAGCTACATACATGTATGCAAATAAAAGGAATGATAAATTGTGCAAGTTTTTTATCTGCTAAGAAAAGAAGAAAAAAGATAAAAGACATAACTGGGAGGTATAAACTGATCCTGCATCATGTGAATGGTACATGTATGGGGAAACCAACAATTTTTTGCATGGCCTCAGAAGATTTAATGTTTTAATTCTGCAGTGGTTCTGTTTGAGCAGTGCAATTACATTGGCTCGAGTCTATGTTTTGGTTTTTTTACTTTAAGTCACCTTAATGTGCCATTGGCAATGCCACAGTGGGGGATCAAGAACTTTTAAAAATGGAGGGGGGATGCCTACTGACCAAATAAGGTGATGGGCAGTGACTTCCAAACATTTCAACTAGTTATTTCCAGCAAAAAGGGGGCTCTCTTTGAATGGGACCCCAATGCACATGATGCAAATAATTTGGGTTTTTTTCACGTATAGAAATAGCATGTGCACAGGTTTACAGGATAAAATTTGAATATCATGTGAATATTTCCAACAAATCTATGGCTTTCATGAATTATTCTTAATTATAAGATGACAGTTATAGTTTATCAATGGCGAAAGTTAGAAAAGCAATCAAGTTCAGATGACCAACAATAATCTGTTTACGCTATTTTACCTACATGTACATGTACATGTATGATAATGTTGTCAATTAATTTCATTAGCAATGTAACATGCCCCCTTAGTTTCTAGTGAAATTTTTCATATCACTCGACTCTGATGAGAAATTATCAGTCAGTAAGATCAATTTTTTTTTCATGAAATAGCGATAATGTGTGTTACAGTATAACTTATAATTATATAACCTTGTATTGTCCCAAAATATAATTCAATTGTGCTCAGCTCAAACATGTCAAAACAGGAATAGCCTCACATTTCATCCAATTTTTAAGCTTACATAAACTTTATACTTGGAGACAATGAACGTTATTCCATATCTTATGTCTCATTGCAACACACAATATCTAAATGCAAGTAATTCTTACCATCTCCAACTGCTGTGATGGTTCTGTCATGCACCCATATCTCTTTTGCCATGGCAAGTGTTATTCCCCGATCTGGCTTTTCTTTACTTGACTTTGGGTGTAAGGGATGTGCACATGTTCGCTTACATCTATACCATTGTGTACTAAGTTTGTCTCTGTGAGAGTCACATATTGTCATTTTCATAGTGGCATTTTCCACCGTAAATAAACCAGCACGATACAGTATTAATAAACCCTCTGGTATTGATACATGCTTGTCTTTTGGACCGGATTTAAAACGAATAAGATGGTCACTGATATCACATCTCAATTTATATATAATTTGACAATCTCCTTCACACTTCACTGCATCAAACGATCTAGAAAAGCTACATTCTTGTTTAGCAACAAGTGTTCCATGGGGGCTGCCATTCTGTTCTGTTCTGGTTAAGAAAATCCCTCCTTCAAAGGAGCACTTCGCACAATGACGAATAAAATGTTTATATATATATACCTAAAAAGACATACTAGGTACGCCTCGTGGGATGAGTGTTGGTTACTGTCAGAGACCCTTACGCTTGCTTGGCGGAAGGTTTTTGATTATACGAGTTCGTAGTCCGTGTAGAGCAAAGCATAGCTTCCTCGTTATGTATTCTATAGTGTAGCACGCAGCAGTGCATTGACACTTGCAACCGCAGGCACATAAAAAGCTACTAGGATCCAAAATAAAATTAGTGTCTAGGGTGATGTTACTAGGAGTACTACATTTCATGCATACATCAATACTACATATAAAGTTATATAATTCTTGTAGATAAGGTATACGGATTTCATGCAGAGCTGGACATTCCATAAGGAAATGATCGATTGTTTCTGGCTTACCCTTGCACAATAGGCATGTTGGATCTACTGCGTTTTGGTTGAAAGCGGCTTTGTTGCTTTGTAGATAGTAAGTACCTGTCAGCAGTTTCAACTTAGTAGGTAATCTACTAATATCTTGAGAAGAGGTATTTACGCTGGCTAAGCTTGGATGCGGTCTGTTCCATAGCAGATTATTGGTGGATAAGAAGCGTAGAGATGAATAAAGCCGAGCGGAGGATGTGGTTTGAGTTTTGTAATAATTGTCTACCGCCTTTTTTACTATTGCTTTCCAGCGCTCCTTACTGTGTGGGTTATCAAGAATATCCTGCGCTGATGGAAGATCATAAATGGCAAGGAGATTTCGAAGCTTTCCAAACCAGCTAGAGGAGGAAAATCCAACCAAAGCAAGTTGTCTTACAGCGAGGTCTTTCTCCACAGATGAATCCATATTGCAAATTTTATTAAAGGTGTTTAAAGCGGATTTATGGATTGTTCCAATTATAGGAACAACTCCCGCAAGTGTATATATAGCGACATCTGCCGTATTAGTTGGCATGGATAGAATTTGCTTTAAAGATTTTCGATAAAATACCTCTATATTATCTAGTTGTTTCTTATCTGGAAGGAGAATTTCTAAGCCGTATGTTAACACCGGTAGAACATATGTATGAAATATATGAAGACTTGCTGTAGGGTTAAGTCCATTTTTGCCGTGGAGTCCTGCGCCCATTAGGCTATACATACTTCTTCTTGCTTTGGAGATGTTTTCATTGATATGAGTGGTTATTGTCTTTTTAAAGTTAGCGTTATGTTTAATACCCAGGTGTACAGCTGAATCTGGTTGAATAATTTCGTGCCCATTAATTGAGAAGTCTTGGAGTGAACTGGCGTTACTACATTCGTTTTTTAGGACAACACTTTTAGTTGGTTGTAGAACATATTTTTCGTGTTTGCTATAATTTTCCACTGTTGAGATCATTACTTGGAGTTCTGTTGGTGAGTTTGCTATCAGGGCAATATCATCAGCACATGTTGGTGCTCCACAGTAAATATCTCCAATATATTTTCCTAACCCGTTGTCCTCCAGTTGGTCAAGTACATCATTCACATAAAGTTTGTATAGTTCAGTACTTAAAATTCCACCTTGTCTAACTCCTTGTTGTATAAGGAATGGTTCAGAGATTAGACCGTCCCATTTGATAGAAGTGAGTGCATTAGTACTAAGCTGTCGTATTAGTAGCCAGAGTGTACCTCCCACACCTGACAGGAATAGCTTTCGGTACAAGCTGTTATGGTTCACAACATCAAATGCAGATTTTGCGTCCAAAAGAGCTATAAAAATTGATGTTTTCTGATCTAGAGATTCCAAAATAGATTCTAAAAGAATGAGGGCACTGTAGAGCGGGGAAACTGTAGGAGTAAATCCTCTTTGAAGCCTGTTTTGTATAATTTTGATGGAATCCCTGATAAGATCACGGAGTAGACATTCTAAAATTTTCCCTATAACTGGTAGAACCGTAATTCCACGGTAATTTTTTGCTTCAGATAGTATGCCTTTATTTTTGAAGATTGGAGTAAGTATGCCTAATTTCAGGGAATCGGGTACTGATGCTGTTGAACATATATGATTAATTATTGCCGTAACTGCCTTAATTAATGGCTCTCCTCCAAATTTTATATTCTCTACTGTGATGCCGTAAACATCTGGAGCTTTTTTGGTGTTAAGTTTGCCGATTGCTTGAACAATTTCCTCTTCTGTGAAAGTTATCGGGGAGGCGTTGGTTTTGCAAATTTCTTCAATTACGTCGATATCAAATTCTCTATCTGTGTATTCCACATTTTCGTTTGACGTTTGAGGTGTTGCAAGTTGTTTGAAGTGTTTGTTCCACCCTTGTAGGATGTCGTCCTTTGACGAGTGAATTTCTCCTTGTACATTAAGCTCTGATAATATGGTTTTTCCTGATTTTCTTTGCGCATTTACTAATTTATGGAACATTTTACTGTCACTACGTTGTGCAGACATAATGGCTTGCATAGATTCATCTCTTTGTTTGGCAATCTCCTGCCGCCTAGCTCTTCGAAGTTCCTTTTTTGTTTTTTTGCGCTTTTGCATTGTTTCCCCATCAACAGGTTTATCCTCTTGTCTCCATTGATATAGTGCCTTTTTGTTTTCTATAAGTGCCAGACCAATTTCATCATTCCAAATGTGTTTGTTTCTTTGTTTTGAGGGCTTCTTTACAGTAACAACGGAATCTTGCGATTGTTTAATAATATCCAATAGTTTTTCAATGGCTAAAGGATCAGCAGTATAATCAATTGGATTAAGAGCAAGTCTAGTTGTTAACTCAGCCTCGTACTTTGAAATGTCAATTTTATCCCAGTTGACTTTTTGTGATTTGATTGGTTGATCACTTTGATGTTTAAGCTTGAAATTCATTTCAATTTCTGTTAAAATTGGGTAATGATCAGATGTATTATTATGAAGCATGTCTAGTCTTATTGTGTTATAGACTTGTGCATTGATGGACTCATGAGTGAGGATGTAGTCAATAGAAGAAGACTCGTGACCATTTGGATGAATAAAGGTAAGTGGCATAGATCTGAATTTCAAGTTTGTGGTTTCAATGAATTCTTTCAACCATGATTGTCTGGCTGATGTTGTTGAGCCATTTATCAGGTCACAATTTAGGTCACCGCATAGAATGGGGGTGTATTTACCCGAATATTTTACTATTATTTCATGGAGTTGGTCAAGACAGTCTTTAAATTCTTCATTAGCATGTTTTGTACCACGACATGGCATATAGGCACAAATTAACAATATTGGCTTCGGGTTTACGTTCAGTTTTATGCAAACAATTCTTTCTGAGCCATCATCTACTTTTTCAACAATATGATTGAGACTATTTTTCCATAAGATGGCAGTTCCTCCATAACCTCTTGGTTTTTGTATTGGTGGTATAGGGTTGTTATCATCCACAGATTTAATCGCCCAAGAAACATTCTTAAAAAGAGTTCCCATATTTTCCTGCTCAAATTTAAAAAGCCAGTGTTCTTGTATACAGATAAAGTCAGTAAAATCTAAAATATCATTTATACAGTCCTGAGAATTATATACATTTTTACAGTTAAAAGTTGATATCCTGATAAGATCAGACGAGGTTTCTGCTAAGTTATCATTAGGTTCTGACCGCCCTTTGCTAAAAAAGACCTGTTCTGTTTAGGTGTTTCTTGCAAGTGTACATCAGTTGGTGGCATTTCTTGCTGAGTATCCTCAAGATCAGAAGAATCCGAAGTATCAACAACTTCAATGGTGGTCACTTCTTCAATAATCGAATCTTTGCTGAAGTCTGCATGTTGTTTTTCTCCTGGTTCAGTACGGTCAGCACCATTGTTAGTTAACTGATTGTAAAGTTTAGGAACTCCAGGTTTGGCAACAGACTCATCTGGTATCTCAATCGTTTCCGTAACTTTTGGTGGTTTTAACTCTGGCTGACATACCTTAATTTCATGGTTAGGTATTACATCAGTTTCACAAGCTTGTCGAGTATTTATCTTGCTCTGGCATGTCTGGTCGTTATTGCGATCATATTTGATATGAGCTCCTTCAAAATAAGATACAGGTTTAAATTTTGTATTGGATACACCCGATGGCTGTTGTCCAGTATATGACGGTGGTGGGATGTTCATTGCCTGAGGAGGTAAACCATAAGGTAAATTGCCTGGTGCATGGATTTGATGTGCTGGGTTGTACAGATGTGGCATGCCTACGTTCATCGGAGTAGGGAGTCGGTGGAACTGTGGATTAAAAGTTGAAAATGGAGGGTTGTACATGGTAAATGCTGGTTGATTTTGAATAACATGAGGATTTTGATATGGTTGATAATGTTGGTAAGATTTCTGATGTTCAAAAGCCATTTCTAAATTTTTAAGTCTATTTTGGATAGATTGTATTTCCATATCTTGCATCTGTCTATATAAAGTTCTGGTATTTTCTATGTGTGCTATTCTATCTTTTAATAAATTATTTTCCAAGGATGAAATTTGAGATTCTATACTGAGTTTTGTCTCCTCATTTGAGTTTTGTGATAGGCTATTGTTCTTTCTATTTTCTATAAGTGAGTCTGAAGCTTGGTTTTGAGTGCCAACGATTTTCATACGCAATATGCGGTTACTATTTTCTAGCTCCTTAACTTTGGCTTCCATGTTTATGGAGTATGTTTTTAGCCGTGATTGGTCTTTAAGGGTGTCGCTTATAGAGGCTTTTTCTTTTTTTAGTTCTTCTTCTAACCTCTTTAATTTTGATTCCCTTTGCCGTAACTCTTTATCAGTTGTGCCTATTTCAGCTGAAGTCCCAATGATGTTTTGATTACGATTCATGGGTTGCTGTGGAGGTGCAGGTACCTTTGGTACTGAAAAACTTTCAATTGATTGGGTCCTTAAGGATAGCTCTTCATCTAGTAAGGCTTTCGCTGCCGTGGTAGTTTGTTTTTCTATAGAACATACATGTATTGGGTTGCACTTATCATGCTTATCTGGTGTGTACCTG